GACATGGTTTGTACCTCAGTGTTATTCAGCCCTGCTGGAATCCAGGATCACATTGCGCTCATTAACACACAGTCACACCCCCCTGAGCCACGCCCCTGTCACTTAGGCAGCACCCCCACGATCCACACACTGGGGGGGGGCACCTGCTTGTGCACATCTGAGGCATGTTAACCTGGGTGTGTGTGGGGGGGATGTGGCGGACTGAAGGCCGTTCTGTGCTGGCGTGTTCTCCGGTTTCTGCATAGGCCTGATTTGGCCACTCGGCCCGGGGGCAGAATCCGGAGGCCTAGAATAAAGTATCAGCTGACTGATTGCAGTTTAGCGGCAGGTGGGTCTCTGCAGCCAGTGGCTTTACCGCTGTGCCATTGGCTGCCTGAATTTCTATAAGCTCTGTTTCAAATCAAAAGAAACTTTCTGCCATAAAAGAGAACAAAATGTCAATTGTAAAAATTTTAGCTTTCCAGTCTAGGGAAGGGGATATAGTTTTATTGTAAATAGTTTCTTGTTGTCTTTGCTGTTGTTGTTGCTGTTCTTGGGGGTCTCCCTGGGGCAGAATGATTGATGATTGGGGGGGACTGAAGAGCCTGAACCTGGGGTTTGGCGCCATCTGATGGCTGTTTAAAGGGATGTTTTTAAAAGATTTCTCGCTGTTGGGTGGGGTGGTTAGCATTGCTGCCTCACAGCAAAATGGTCCTGGGTTCAATCCTCGGGTTCAATCCTTTCTGTGTGGAGCTTGCATGCTCTCCACGTGTTTGCGTGGGTTTCTGCCAGGGGCTTTGATTTCATCCCACTGTGTGTGTTGACACCTGCCCAGGGTTGGTTTCCACCTGTGCCCCTTGTTTCTGAGATGGGCTCTGGTGACCCGTGTTGGGATTACACAGTGATTTGTTGATAATCTTTGCTGGCACTGGGAGATCAGGAGGATGTTATTATAATTTGAACCAGGTTCAGTAATATTAATAGTAACAGGTAACAGATCTAAAAAAAATAAAATAAAATAAATAGCAAGTCAAAGAAGGCAACTTCCAAATACCAAACTGATGTCTTTTGGGCCCCACGTAAAATAGGTGGTGCTGAGTCCTTCCCACCACAAGAGGGAGCCAACTATTCATGTAAAGATGGTTCTCAGTTTATGCAAGAAGTTCACTTATGAAAACATGCCTATAAATTAAAGACATCCCACCTTATGGATATTCAGAGAGGCAGATGAGGGGCATCCGGGAGGGCGGGGTGCTGGCCAATGCTTGGCTGATATTACATTAATTCTACACATACACTGCTCAAAAAAATTAAAGGAACACTTCTTCATCAAATATATCAAGTATAGCATCAAGTCAATTAAACTTCTAGGATATTGATCTCGTCAGTTAAGTAGCAAAGGGAATTGTTAATCAGTTTCAGCTGCTTTGGTATTAATGAAATTAACAACAGGTGCACTAGAGGGGCAACAAGGAGACGACCCCCAAAACAGGAATGTCACAGTTCCGAGTTCCGAGAGATAATCAAATGCAGGATACCTGAACTAACAGGGAAGTGGCATGTCTAGCTTTCATTTTCACGTAGGCTTATTTAGAAGTACTCTTCCTAAAATTGCACCTATAAAGAAACGATTACCGAAAGTATTCCACGAAAAGTTTAATTAGTTCCTACGTTTAGCAGGGGAACAGTTTACATACTTGACAGAACCGACAAATGGCATCATTTGAAAGTAAGTTTACAAGTTAAAATGTTACGTCTTATGTTAGAACTTTTGCAGCTTTGTTAACTGCAATTGTACCTGTATATAGACAAACTTTTATCTTGATTTCAGTCGATGTGCTGAGAAGACGGAGAAGATCGAGTATGGATGCACATTCACACAGTAAGTGATTTGACAGCAACAGCAGTTCAAAGAGAAGTCAGTCATAATTCTGCAAAGGAGTGAATGTTGTCCATGTTGACTGTGCTGTTTAACGGCATTTCGGACATGATTTCCATGATGGTTAATACTGGTTTCGTGCTGGTGAAGCTGGTCTGCCTGAACATGAAGCTGGTCCATCAGAAATATTTATGTTGGCTTGAAAAAACCAACATACTGTACTCATTCTTTTTCAGCTTGTTATTATTATTATTATTATTATTATTATTGTTGTTGTTAATAATAATAATAATAATAATAATAATAATAATATCGTTACAGGATCATTATTATTATTGTCTATTATTACTGCAGTATCATTATTGCAGTGTCATTATTATTACAGTATTATTATTATTCTCCTCTCCCTATTTTCTGTTTTTTTTTTTTCAACAAGGTACCCAGTTAAAAAATGGTTCTCTTGGTTGATTAAGAGAAACTTTTTTTCTTTCTCGCAAGGACAAGAGCAAATCAAATTAATGTTTATTTATAAAGCACTTTTAAACAACCAAGGTTGACCAAAGTGCTGTACATACTCACATCATTAAAAAAAACAACAATAAAAGACATCAAATAAGAAACATAAAACAAACAACAAACTCAGCATTTTATGCCAACTCATCCTAAATCAAATGCCATCAAGAAAAGCTGTGTCTTTAGAGAAGATTTTAAAAAGGGAGCAGTGAGAGGGGTTGCTACTGTGGGCTGGAGAATACAAAAGTATTAAGAAATGAGTCATTTGTGTGCTTCAGTTTAATTCATCCACATCTGCACTACCTACACAACTCCAAACAAAATATTATACTAGGTGGGCTTGGGGGGTATTACAGTAATACTATTGGGGGCAGCGTGTGGCTCAGTGGGCTAAGCCTGTGTGTCTGTAATCAGAAGCACGACCCTTAACCCCCAGCTCCCTGGGTGCCCCAAGAGGTGGCTGCCCTTCAGAGAGAGCTTACTTTATAAAGAGCAAATTGAGGGATAATTTATAATTTACTTTATAAAGAGCAAGTTGAAGAACTTCAATAAACAATAAAGGATTGATCATTATTATTATTATTATATACTGCGTCATTTTTTTTTTTCAAACTCCCCATAACAAATTTTATCAGGAGAAAGCCAGAATAGCATTACTCTTTTAAATACTGTCAAAATACCTCACTCTGTACTTTTGTTCTTAGTATTGTAACTGGTCTTTGGTAATGGAAGGTGACGTAAAATGGATACACTAACACAAATATGGTTAAAAACGTATATTTAGAATACGATTTACTTGCAGGTACCGCTCAGGCCCCTTCAGGTTCATGCAGGCACAGAACAGTTTGCCAATCTCATGTCTTGCCACTCTTAAGACCCCACATGCGCAAAAGAGAATAAAATAATAAAATTATCATGTAACAATATTGCATCAGTATTATTTGAATTTTGATGTAAATGTATTTCATCTAACCAGAATGAATGACGCAAAAGATAATGTGATAAACGTTTCCAAAACATTATACCATGGAGAATCTTATAACTAAATTAATATCCAGGATGCTTCAGATTTTAAAAGTGATAATAAATATCGAGGCAGGACAAGTAATTGTAGATGCCTGCTGATATCAGTAAAAAGGCCATTTTTTGTATTTGTTGTGTAAATTTTTATGCATAAACAGTAAAACTTTGAACAGAAAAAACTAAATGAATATATTACTTGTTTAGGTTTAAAATAAACTAACAATTATGAAATATAGATTATGGACAAATGTATATGTCGGACATTTTTTTCCAAACACGCTAAACAGATAAACTACACTTTGAAAACTGATGAAACCAATAAAGAACTCTGCTGTGCACGCGTCAACCCAACCGGAAGGGGCCTGAGAGTAGGCTTGGCACGATACTGAAATTTCAAATTCGATACCGATACTAAGGATGGTGTTCAATACTCGATACTATTTTCGATACTCCAGGGGGAGAAAAAACAAACACAGGATTTTTTTTCCAAATAAAGTCAGAATACAACCAAAAACAAAAAAAAAGACAAACAATACAATGAAAAATCAAACCTAATAAATAGAAAAGGCCATTAACATTGTAAAATAAATAAAATATTTTCAACAGTGTAGACAGGGATCTGGTCCATACAAATGTACTTGGCAACAGCCCTGTTGAGCGTTTGTGCCTTTGGTGATTTGGCACTGTATTTCCGCTGTTGTTCAAACAGTGCGGGTAGGGTGGGTTGTGTTTGTGGCTGTTTAGGTCTGGCTGCTGGTCCCCTTCTCTCAGCCTCAGCCTGGGACTATAACACATACGTAATGATTGTCAGATACGAACAACAGAGTTTTATAGGTTTGGCACCATGGCCAAAAATAAAGAAATTAATAAATGAACGAATAAAGGAAAGAAATGTGTTTTAATGTTTTTGAGCCAAACTAAAAAAAAAGCACTCTACGCTTCGCATGACGCAGCAGTGAAAATATATGCGCGTTGTGCAATTAGATGATTATAAAACGCGGAGAAGTGAAGACACAGCCATTCTTATAGTTAACTTACTTAAACAGTATTGCTTGACAGTGGCACTTAAAATATTCATATTTTCATATCCATATGTTTGAACAACAACTTTATTCTCCTCTCGAAACTCCACGTATAATTCGGAGTGATGGTCTTTCAATGCTTCGCTAAATTTGTCGTGCTGCTCGTTTTGGTTGCGACAACTTTGAAGCACTTCTTGCAAATGCGCTTGTCCACATCTTTTGCTTTTCCTTGTTCATCTGGTTCATATGCAAACTATTTCCAGACAGTGCTCCTGCTTTTTACATTCTCTATCAAGCTTGGTGCTGCAGAACTAAAGCTGGAGCTGCTTTCGCCCACTGCCATGTTTAAAGTGTGTCACTCATGTAAAACAATGGGTCCTCCAGATAGCCGTTGTCGGGGGATGGGCTGTCCGCTGCAATGCCTGTTGAAAATTGTTGTAGTCTGCCGGTGCTTTCCGTGAACTTGCAGATGCAAAACTGGCATTTAAGTATCGATACCAGCGCTAATTGATATCGAACTCGATACTAAATTTTAGTATCGATTAGCATCTGAGAATCTGATTTTTTGACATTACCTGAGAGTCTGCAGCCATATATTATTACTTATTGAGGAACACCTCTCCTATGGGGGGCCGGAAATCATATGACATCCACATCAGTGCCAGACGTGACTTCACAACTGCTGTTCACAAATTGTTTCCTTTAAAATTATGAAGACAGCTATTTCTCATAATATCTTAAGCTACATAAAGGTGAGAATTTCACATGGAAATAGCAAATTTAAATTACAGTATTAAAGTCAATTCCCATAGATTTAAATGAGATTAACATCCATTCCCAAAGTTGCACTAATACTGTAAGAAGGCTAATATATATTTTAAAAAGGCGATTAAACTCCATTCCTGATATTGCACTGACATCATATCCAGCACTGTTGTGGAGGTCATGTGATCTGGAGCCTCCCAGTGGAGATACTGCCTCCATTCCTGAAGTTTGCATAACGTTACTTCCAGGCCAGGTGTGGAGATCATGTCATGTCTGGCCACACAGCGGAGGTCCTCCTAGTGGAGTCACCCAGTGCTCTTCAGCCAGATGTTCTTGGAATGGTATGACAGCAGGGAGCAGAAATATAAAGTACAGATATTTTATGGGTTCCACTGAAATAAAGGTAGCTGATCTCGGTGTGTATAATTCCTTGGTAAGACCCCACCTAGAATACTGTGTGCAGGTTTGGTCACCATACCTCAAGAAGGACATTGCTGCCTTAGAAAAGGTGCAATGTAGGGCTACGAGAATGATTCCTGGTCTTAGAGGAATGTCTTATGAGGAGAG